AGGAGACCAGTTGGGAGGTTTAGTTGGACCTGGGGAGACTAGTTGTTGGAGGTTAGGAGGACCTGGGGAGACTAGTTGTTGGAGGTTTAGTTGGACCTGGGGAGACCAGTTGTTGGAGGTTTTGAAAGATCTCAGAAGACCAGTTGTTGCTGAATTTAAAGGACCTGAGGAGACTAGTTGATGGAGGATTTGGAGGGAATATTGTCCCATTTTGGTCTGATGGAGAACTCCAGCTGTTCAGCTGTCCTGGACGGCAACAGATGTTGTAAAAGTTGGATGTTTTTCTGCATTGATGGAGCTCTTCCAGATGTTTAAATTGCCCATGCTAGAGACACTAATGCACCCCCATACCACTGGAGAGGCAGGCTTTTGAGCTGATCACAGTCCACAGGGTTTTTCTCCACTTTGGTGCAGAGGATGTTGCTTCTGTGGTTTCCCCAAAATATATTTAAATTTAGATAAGTTTGACCACAGAACAGTTCTGAACTTCACCTCAGTTTATTTGAAACGAGCTCTGGTCCAGAGAAGACAGCACCATTTCTGGATGGTGTTCACATCTGGCTTCTTCTTTGTCTGATAGAGCTTTAAGCAGCATCTGTGGATGAACTGTGTCTACAGACAATGATCTATGGAAGAGTTCCTGAACAGAACCAGACCTGGTTTTATGCAGGGGCCCCTGACGGCCTGAAGGTCTCGACCTTCAGCCTCGTCCTTTGAGCTCAAAGTTTTCTACAGATTCTTCTGATGAGATTATGAACTGGAGATGATGGAGATTGAAGTCTTTATTCAGGAACTTGATTCTGAAATGATTCCTCTACTTTTAGACCGACTGCCCATCTTTACTTCCGACAGGTTCAGCCTCCAAAACACAGATTTTATTCTCAGTTCTTTACGGACCTGTTGCAAATTAACCTAACTGTAAAATGCTCCAGTGACCGTTTCATATTCAAAACACTTTCTTTACAGCCTTTTGGTACAACTTTTAAGGCTTCCATCAAATTCAAAATTATCTTCCTTAAAAAAAAAAAAGTCCAGTTTCTTAGTTTAACCATGTGACATGTTACTACGATCCACAGGGAACAAAATGTGGGTTTATAAGAATTGCAAATATATGCGATTTGTTTTTATTTACATTTTTATTTACACACGTCGGAGGCAGCAAATTGAAAAGCTGAGTAGAAGAAGAGCAAGTGCTGAAGAAATTAAGGTTTAAGTTTTAGAAGCTGCACTTGTAGGAGGCACAGACCTCCAAGGCAAGAAGCAAACAGACAGCTTCTCTCTGGCTCTCAGTACAGTCGCTCCTTCCATCTGCTTCCTACTCCTTTCTTGTTTTTCTTTACTCCAGTGTGTGTGTGTGTGTGTGTGTGTGTGCGCTCATAATGTACAAGTTCTCGGGCAATTCACCGAGACAACTGTGCACCTGGCTTCCCCCTCACTCCGGGGCAGCGTATAAATATCAACAGCATTAAGGTTAGCTTCCAATAATCAGACACGGCGAGCCGAGCGCCGAGGCCTGTTGTCGGTGTGCTGTAGCCCCGTGAGCCTCCAGAGAGGTTTTTCTCTTCTGGGTGCAATCAAAGAAAACGCCGAGCCATTAGTTACGACTGTGCCTGTGTTCCTCTGCCGTCGCCGTGGCAGTGACTGATGGCCAACGCAGCGAGTCGAGCAGCTTTCTGCTTGAAAACTGTTCACATACCTGCAGAAACTGCAAGGCTCCGATAAAACAGGGAAGCAAAAAGAGCAGAAAACGAAAAGCTTCGATTCTGACGACAGGAGGTTTCATCCTCGATGAACGTCAGATCAGTTTTACATTTACACAAAGCTTGTTTAGGTGTCGCGGTGCGAGTCGAAGTTCTCAGAGTGCTAGAGTTAAAAACAACTAGAGAAATGGTATTTCCTGAGAAAATGAAGTGTGAATGCTTATAGCAAAATAACTTGCTGAGAAAAAGCTGAAATGAACTAAAAACATGCTGAAATGTAGCTGAAATGGAAGAACTAGCCTAAATTAGCAGAAGAAAGCATAAAGAACACATATTTGTTAAATTAGGTTTAAATAAGCAGAAATGAGCACACAAATTAGGAAATTAGCTGAAAAAAGCTGAAATTAGCAAAAAATAGCTGAAAATAGTTGAAAGACAGAAAGAAGCTTAAGCTACCAGAAGGAAGCTAAAAGAGTTGAAATGAGCTAAAAAAAAAAAAAAACAAAGGTGGAATTAGCTGAAAAAGCTAAGAATAGCATAAAAACAGCTAAGTACTAGCTGAACTAGCAGAACTAGCTACAACTAGCATAATTAAGCTGACAGGCACATAAACTGAAATTAGCATGAAGAAGAAGATTAGGCTGAAATTAGCAAAATGAAAAACTTCAGCTAATCTTTTACTACATGTAGCTTCTACAAAGGTTTTTTATTACTATTAGCTTTCAGATAGTCTTTTGCAACACGTAGCTTCGACAAAGCCTTTTATTACTATTAGCTTTCAGCTAATCTT